GCAGCGCCAGGAGGATGTCAGGATGTGAAACGCAGCCAGAGGAACAAGGGAGCCTTGCGGCGAGAGTGCAGGGGCCACCGGTAGAGTAAGGCAGCGGGTCCAGTGGCTTGTGGTTCTGCAGGATGCGCGCTGTCACGCAGAGTGCAGATGGTATTACTGAGCGGCACTTCAAGGTGGAAAGGAGGAGTGCCGTCCAGGGGAGGGGGCGGTAGTGCTGCCCCACGGTTGGAGAAAGCAGGCGGCGGAGGGCCGCAAGCAGTGTGTAGAGAGGTGTAGGTGATGGCGCTAGGCGCTGGGGGCGGGGAGAGAGCGAGGAGTGGGCTCAGTCTCTCCAACGGAGCCTCTTTTCATCTCTATCGTCCCGATCGTCGGGGCAGTCACCGCCGCGTTTGCCACCCGTCTGCCAGCGATCTTCACGCCATCCGTCACGCCACTCGCCCTGCCGGCTGCCCCAGGTGTCCCAGGAGCTTGACGCGCGGTCACGCCAGCCGGTCTGGTGGTAGCTGCCTTTGCCCCTGTCGTCTGCACGGGAGTGCCGCGGGTAGTTGGCTCGTAGCCTGTCCCAGTCAATGCCATAGCCCAGCCTCGTGTTCATCTGGTAGGCGTCATACCCGCAGCCCTTCCAGGCATCAAGAAAGTTGATGATGTCCGTGGCCGCGTGTAGTTCCGGGTCGGATTTGGGCGCCCTGGATCCAGGGATCCAAGTTCGCTGCGTGTTTGCTGTCCAAAGCGCGCAGAAGACTGCGCCCAGCTCCGACTGAAGCCTGGCTATGCGTCTGGCTGGAGTCTCGTTGGGACGCTCGAGGACAACTGTGCCCAGCCACACTTTGTACATGGGGCCGCTCCCCTCCGGACAGGTCAACCGGTTGAGTGCATCCTGCTCCGATGTACCAGTATGGCGAGGGTGATAGCGCCTCTGTTCAGGGAGCTGCGGGGTGGGCGCGGGAGAGCGCTCGGACCGCGAGTCTCCTCGGTCGCGGGTTCTCTCGCCTTTCGCGGGATCCCGGGCTGGGTCGCTACGGCTGTCGGCATAGGGCGCTTCCTCCCCGGCTGAGGTCGCGGTCTCGTCGCGGCAGGAGTCGGAGCTGTCCGCCGATGGGCTTTGCTGAGGCGCCTCGTCGCCTGAGCGATTATCATCGTCGTCCTGGGCCGATTCTGAGCAAGTGAGAGGACGAGGGGGTTCGTCTCCCCCGAAGTCGGGAGACTCCACCTTTGCAGGAGGGATCTCTTCTTCCGCGCTCTCGTCGTTGCCGTTGTGGTCGGGCGGGCCCTGGTGGCCCATGCGCGAGTCGTTGTCCATCGTGCCCTGGGACCTGTCCGTGTCGGCAGCCATGGGAGTGTCTGGTCTGTCGTCGCTCATGGCTAAAACGCCCGTTGGGGGAGACTCGGCCAAGGAGGTGATGGTAGCAGCGGCGAGGGCATCGGCGCCGAGGCTGGGTAGGAAGCCCGTCAGCGTGCTGATCTCATGTCGGATGGGATCGAGGCCATTTGCCGGGGCAAGCGTCGCCGCATAAGTCCTCCAGGGCTCCTTATGTCTCTCGCCGTTGGCCAGGCGTGCTATGACTCGCGCCGCGGCCACGCGCTTACCTTCCCAGCGCTGGTTGGGAGGGAGACAGTCGTCTGGGATGTAGTCGCCGTATATGGTCCTAAGGAACTCTGACAGGAGTTCGTCAGGCAAGGAGGCCTCGTCGTAGTTGGGCTCCGGGGCGCTTCTGTCGCGGTTGACGATGCAAAACTGCCTCCAGGTGTATTCCAGTCCAGGATGGAAATCACGGAGGAAGGTTACTAGCGATCGCCGTGCGGACAGTCCGCCGGGGCCATGTCTGCTGGAGTCCTCAGCGCTTAGGGTGGGATTAGAGACGCTCCTGTCGCTCAGGAGCGGGCCCTGCGGTGCTGGCAGGTCCGGCAGGAGCTCCAAAAGCTGGGTGAGGGTCCTGGGGGTTGTCTCTGACGCTGCACCAGTACCGCCCGTGGCGCTGGGTCCAGGGGGATTGCCTGCTCCGACCTTGGTGAATTGATCCTGGGCCTTGGCGTCCACGCCCAGCCAAGGAAGAGAATCAGTAATGTCCACAGGCGCCTCGAATCCAATCTGGCTGCTGAGCGGAGGAAGGATAGGAGGTTTTTCTGGATGCAGTGACCTGAAGTCCCGATCCAGGATGCGGTCCAGGGTGGCCGGACCTATGTTCCAGATCGGGACCAAGCAGCGTCGGCAGCACCATGTAGCGTTCCATTGGCGCCCCCACCAGGCCGGGAACGCCTATACCTTCCGCCGGCTTCCATATGAAACATCCCAGGGGCGGGGGGCCAGGGTCCCAGACGAGGAGTGGGCCCCCCTGGGGGCAGGTGTCGCACCGCGCAGAGTAGGTCCGCGTCTGCGCAGCTTTTAGACCGAAGCGCTCATCCCGGATCCGTAGGATGGGAATGGTGGTATTGGCACGCTCAGGGATCTTCATGCCCGTCGGCACCATGAGGAGGTCCGCTAACGTCCTCGTGTCCGCAAGGGGGCTGCATCCAAAGCCGAGCGGAAGATGCCCCAGGGAAGGGGGGGCGCTCGCTCGGTCATTGTTGGCCCCCGTTCTCTGCTGCTCATGCTCCTTGACTCTGTCGGCAAGCTTCGCACCTGCAGGCGCAGGGAGGCCCTGCTCCTCCAGGTGGCTTACCCAGCAGACGTCGCAGTGCCACCCCATGTTGGCGCCGTCGATGTAGGCCTGAGGCCTGTTCTGAGCGACCATCTGGCGCGTGATGTCGGAGATCCAGGTGCCCTCGGCGGAACTCAGCTGGTCCTTTCCGCATCTGTCGCACGTGTATCTGCCGTTCTTCTTCTCGAGCGCGAGCCTCTCGTCGGGGATGACTGGAGGGTCCAGCCTGGTGCCTGGGGCGGGGGCTGGTGGTGGGGGGGCATTGAGGTCGGTCTTGGACAGGGCAATCCCGCCGCCTATGTAGGAAAGACCCGCAACCCGGTCGTCAGGACCCAGGGAGGCATCGGTCCCCGCCAGTGCGACATGAAGCGCACACACTGAGCAGCCGCGTGTATCCAGGGAGGTTAGAGTTGCTGCCGGGACGATCTGTCCGAGGACGAGCATCGGCGTTTTTAGCTGGAAGTCTTGCCTGTCCATCTCGCTCCAGGTCTGCGGGCAGCCGGCTTCCCGCGCGGCCGGGCGGTGATGCGCCAATGCCACGAGCTTGGAGATGTGGGGAAGAACCGCCTCGATGCGGCCGTGCAGGTCTGCCAGGTCGTCCAGTGTGAGGCTCCAGGCACGGGCGAACTGGCTTCGGAAATCCAGGTGGACCTCTTGCCAGGGGACGCAGAACCCCAGAATGGCTTCGATGACGTCCCCGGCCTGCTCTGCATGAGAGAAAGGCCACAGAAACTTTCGCGGTTCGCGGAGCATGAGCATCATGACGACCAGAAGCGACCGGGCCTTGCAGGAATCCATGGGGAGGCCGTCGGTGTCTGTGATTCCCTCGCGGAACTCTTCCATCATGGCACCACACACTCGGAGGATCTCTCCCAACCCGGCCATTCCAGGGTGCCTTCTGTGTCGGCAGCAGTCCTTGGTAGCGGTGCTCCAAGCCTTGGGGACCTGACGGAAGAGCCCTTTGGGGGTGCACTGGCGGCGCTTCCGGAGTGTTACACGCCTGCCGTTGGCGTGAGGCAACGGGGGAAGGGAGTCGTCACGCGACCAACCCGCGACCCATCCCACGACCCACCCCGCGACCCACCCGCGACCCACCCGCGACCCACCCGCGACCCACCTCGCGACCCGCCCGCGGCCCACCCCGCGACCCACCCCGCGACCCACCCGCGACCTACCCGCGACCCACCCGCGACCCACCCGCGACCCACCCCGCGACCCACCTTCGACCCAAACCACGTTCAAGGTACAAACCAACATTTTCGGCGCCTGCGGCGGGTTTTTTTTGCATTCCTTCCAGGTGGAGAGCCCGCGACACACCCCGCGACCAACTCGCGACCAACCCGCGACCCAAACCACGTTCAAGGTAAAAACCACATTTTTCGGCGCCTGCGGCGGGCATCTTTTGCATTCGTTCTAGGTGGAGAGACCGCGACCCACCCGCGACAACGTTCAGGGTGCAGACCAAATTTTTCGGCGCCTGCGGCGGGCATCTTTTGCATTCGTTCCCGGTGGAGAACCCGCGGCCCACCCGCGACCCAAACCACGTTCGGTGTACAAACCAAATCTTTCGGCGCCTGCGGCGGGCTGCTTTTGCAGAAGGACGAGGAGGAGGAGGAAGAGGAGGAGGAAGAGGAGGAGGAGGAGGAGGAGGAGGAGGAGTCAGGGGACTACGACGACCACGACGTCGACGACGACGACGACGGCGACGACGACGAAAAGGAGGAAGGGAGGAGGATCGGGAGGGGGGGAAGAGGAGGAGGACGACGAGGAGGAACATGACGACAATGGGATGACGATGATGGAAGGACGAGGGGGGGAGAGGGAGGACGAGGAAGAAGAGGAGGAGGAGGACGAGGTGGAGGAGCAGGACGACGATGACGATGAGGACGAGGACGAGGACGAGGAAGAGGAGGAGGAGGAGGAGGAGGAGAACGCCATCGACAGGGAAGGTGGGGGCCACGAGGTCCGCCGGCTTGACGACGCCCGCGTCGCCCGCGCCCCCCCCTCACTCTTATCCGCAATTGCGGGGTGCTACGTACGATTACAAATCATTGATTAATGCCTCTAGAGGCCGTCTTGGTGGTCCTCATGGAGCCTTCTTGGGTCGTCTTGGAAGCCTGGTGGGCCGTCATAACGCTATTGTGGATCTTCGTGAGGTTTTTTCGGCGCGTCGGAGCCCTTCGTTAGTCGTCTTGACGGGCATAGCCGTCGGAGAGTGAAGATCTGGAGGCCCGGAGAGCTTGGGAGGTGCGTTGACGAGCTCGTCGCCCTTCCCACCCTAGGGCCCTTCCCCTCAAACGAGATTTTGGACCCTGGAGGACGGGGAAAGGTGGAAGGGGGACAGCCAACTGTCTCACACGCATTGTATCCCCCAGCAATCGGGGGTTGGCGGATGTGACTATTTGCGTTGAGGGTCAAAAGCGCAAAGCACGCTGACCGGTGCCCGCATTCCTTCCTCTTTCCGCAAGGGTGGAGGCGAAGAGAGGGTGCATACCATCGGGGAAGCCTGGCTCCGAAAAGGCAAGCTCCTCGTGTTCGCGCGAGAGCAGCGTCTCGAGACGTGCAGTGGTGTGCTGGACCGACGTGGTTGCCTCGGTACATTTCTTACGGAGCACAGACAGAAGCGACAGCTCTTAACCGCAATCGTCTTGGCTCAAATGTTTCAGGCTCCAGACTCTACATCACCCAAACTCTTAATCTTCAAACGAGTTCGCGACGAGTGCGCATCGTGACATGAACGTACTTAGGGCGGGCGCGTTCTTAACGGCGGGCGCGGGCGCCATGCAGATGGCCGCACAGGGCCAGAGTCAGTTGGAGCTGTTCGGCCTCGAGAATTCCTCCACGGTTTCAGGGAACCACGAATTTCTTCACGCTTCGCGTATCCCCACCAGGTCATACCGCCCTCTGGACTTTTCCTTGCGGGCCGCAAATCAAAAAAAGTATCCCCACCAGGTAGTTAATTAGCTTCGCCTGCTGGCCCAGACGACGCCTACCGCTCCCTGTCCGCCGCCTCGGAGCCGCCGACCAAAAAAGCGTATCCCCACCAGGTTCGCACGCCCCATGCGCTTTCGCTGGCGGCCGTGAGAAAAAAAGTATCCCCACCAGCCCAGTTCCAGCTTATGCGTCTGCATTCCCTGGTATATCTGGTCCTCAGTCACTGCCTCAGCCGGCCGTGTCTGCTGCTGGCCATGTAGGGTTTCGGCCGCCGGTTCACTCAGGAGTGGTTCAGCCTTCTTTCAGCCACGCGCAGAGGGGGGTGGGGGGAGGGGGGAGGGCTTCTTAGAAGCACCCCTGCTTCTTAGAAGGCGCGGGCCTTATCTATAGATGTAAGGCCGGCGCCTTCTAAGAAGCAGCCTGCTTCTAAGAAGCCCTCCCCCCTCCCCCCCACCCCCTTGTGCGCGCCGCCAATTCCTGTACGGATCTGCGCGCTGGATCTGCGCGCTCCCAGTTGGCCCGATATCGCTGGGCTCCCCCATCGTGGCCCTCACCTCTGGCGCCTGACGGCGACAAGTTCCTACAGCGTACCTGGTGATCAGCTCCCATGGTACCCGCACCAGATCCGAGTGTGCTCGCACCCATCCGGCTCTGGTCTCCTGTCCGTTGGTTCGGGTGTTGCTAGAAGTGCCCCTGGCCCAAGGTGCCCCCAGGATTTCCAAGGAGGCTCCCAAGGCCTCCAGAGCACCCCTCACGAGGCCCAGAGAGCCCCAGAGGCTCCAAAATTGAGCGAAACGCTGTGGGCACCTTGGGCCAGGGACACCTTTAGCACCCCCCGACTGGTTGCGGGCTGGGCTGTACTTCCTCAGACGGTGCAGCCTTGTTGGTCTGACGCATCGTTTGTGTTTCTCCGCCCAGTTAACGACGCTTCCTGGCGATCAGGCTTAATTCACCCTGGTCTACCTGGGTTCCGCACGTGTGCAGCTTGCAGCCTCAGCAGCCTGCAGTCCCCACCCTTGGTGCTTCAGCTCAGCTTCAGCCAGCTGCCCACCCAGCGGTAGGTTTTGATCGCGCGCTCCGGCGCGTCTCTCTGCTTGCATGTGCTGCTTAATTTGTAGGTTCCGCGCCCCGGACTTACTGACCCGCCGTCGGCGCTCTCGCTTGCGGCCGCGACCAAAAAAGTATCCCCACCAGCCCATCCAGAAAAGATGCCCCTGAGAGCTGACGGGAGAAGGGATGAAGAGGCACGCATAGCGAAACAGAGCAGGCAACAACGGTGAGTTGGGATATCTCTGCTAGCGACGGGTGCGGGTGCTGCTGGTGCTGGTGCTGTTGCTAGTGGTGCTGCTGGTACTGCTGCTGCTGCTGCTGGTGCTGCTGATGATGATGATTGTGCTGGTGCTAGTGTTGCTGGTTCTCGTGTTGCTGGTGCTGCTGCTGTTGCTGCTTGTGCTGCTGCTGGTGCTGTTGCTGCTGCGGGTGGTGCTGCTGCTGGTGCTGCTGCTGGGGCTGCTGCTGCTGCTGCTGGTGCTGGTGGTAAGGCTACTGCTGGTGCTGCTGCTGCTGGTGTTGCGGCTGGTGCTGCTGCTGATGGTGGTGGTGCTGCTGTTAGTGCTGCCGCAGCTGCTAGTGCTGGTGCTGGTGGTTGTGGTGGTGTTGCTGCTAGTGCTGCTGCTGGTGATGGTAGAGGCATGTACGGTAACAACTGCTTCGGAAGCGGTTTCTCGGAGGTCTCTTGGGATCCATCTTGGGGTTCTCTTGGGGTCCCCGTGGGGCCTATTGAAGCATTATTTGGGGCCCTCTTGGGGCTCTTCTGAGGGGGTCTAGGGGCCCTCTTGGGGCTCTTCTGGGGTTGGGGGTTCTGGGAGGCCTCCTAGGGCCATCTTGGCCCCCATTGTTCAAACATAAGGGGGTACTAAATTTGGAGGCCTCTTGGAGCGTCAGAGGGGCTTCTTTGGTGCCTCGGGGATCCTCTTGAGGCCTCTTGGGGGTCTCTTGGGAGCCTATTGGGGGCGTCTTGGGCCCCTCTTGGGGCCGTCTGGGCGCCTCTTGGGACATTCTTGGGAGCTTCAGGGGCGTTCTTGGGGCCATATTGGAGGAGGTCGATCAAAAAAGGGGGGTCCTTAATTAGGGTCCACTCTCGGGAGCCCCAAGAATCCCCTCGTGGACCCCTCTTAGGGCGCTCTTGGAGCGCTCTTGGGCGCTCTTGGGGCCGTCTTGGAGCTCTCTTGGGCCCCTCTTGGGGCCCTCTTGGGAAAATCCCTAGACCACCTACGCCCAGATGGCTGGTGGGGTTTCACCTGGCCCTCAGCGGGGCACCGCTCGAAAGAGGAGGCTCCGAGTGAAGGTAAACGGTGTGGGTCTGACCACATCGGTTTCCCTTGTCGAGAGTTTGAAGCAGTTTCCTCACGTCTCCAACTCAAACAAAAAACTTAACGCTTCGCGTGCCCCATCATACCATCCTGCGACCCGTGTTGTGCTTACCAGGCCATGGGTCCCAGCAAACAAAAGACATAGAGGACACCACACAGATTTTCGAAAACACCATACAGGCGCAGATGGTGGAGATAAAGACCCCGACGTGTACTGTCACTGGTGCGGCTCTATCACAAGAAGTGGCTGCTGCGGATGGAAACCTGTTCGTGGGATACCGCGGCTACCAGATGACGAACACACCAACAGGTTTGCTTGGGACAACGCAGATCGTGTTTGGAAGTGCAACCAGTGATGTCACTGTTTCGGGGAGCTGTTCGATCACTCTTGTCAGTGGGGGAAGCCTGCCTGCGCTAGACGGGCTGACCGACCTGACAGGTGCCGACATTGGTGGCACGATTTGTCCCCAATCTAACCAACCGCACGGAAGCGGGCACAAATGCTTCTCGCACTGCTGCCATCATGCCTGGTGCGCGCCCGACGGTGGAGTGACCTGGTGTGACCAAACACTGGGGAAAGTGGCAAGGAAAGACATCGTCGCCGACACCATCACCTTCACCCCTGGTTGGTGGGTCACGGCGTACATTGGACCCATTGCAGGCCACGCAGGAGGCGGCGCGGGAGGAGGTTCTGCAGGAGGAGCTGCCGCCGTCGGCGACCCCCACCTGCAGAACATTCACGGCGAGCGGTTTGACCTGATGAAGGAGGGCAGGCACGTCCTCATAAGCATCCCTCGCGGGGAGGGCGCCGAGCAGGCCCTGCTTCGCGTGCAGGCCGACGCGCGCCGCCTGGGCGGCCAGTGCGCGGACATGTATTTCCAGGAGCTGAACGTGACGGGGTCCTGGGCAGAGGCAAAACAGGCTGGCGGGTATCACTACAGCGTCTTGCAGAGCGCCGTGGAGGCTCCACAATGGATTGCTTTCGGTAAGGTCGAGCTGAAAGTCGTCCACGGACGCACGGGCAGTGGCCTCCGCTATCTGAACGTGTACGTGAAGCACTTGGCGCACGCAGGATTTGCTGTCGGAGGTCTACTGGGAGAGGACGACCACGAGGACGTAACCATCGCTGGGGAGTCATGTGCCAAGCAGATGTCCCTGTGACCGTGCTTGTGCTGTCGGAGGTGGGTGCGCGTGTGCGCCCCAACGCTTGGTTCTGGCCACCATGCCCGGTGGCGCTCAAACGCTATATATATGCTCTCTGTTCGTCGGGCCGAGCTGCATGCCACTGGCGTGCAACCCTGCTCGTGCCCTCGTGCCCCGCGACGACCTCCGCCGCGTCCCCAGACCTCCGACGGCGTGCTCTCTGTGACGACGTGGGCCGCCCGAGCCCTCGACCAGAGGGGCCGGACCTCCGCCGCGGAGCGGGCCCCCTGGGCCCGGAGCGGGCCTCCGGAGCCCTCGACCCCAGGCCCTGCGGCTTTCTCTCCGTCTCCTCCTCCCCCTCCCCCTCCTCCTGGGATTTTGCCTGGGATTTTGCAAAGGCCTACACCGTACAAGACCTCCAGCTCGGCCAGGGCCACGAAGTTGTCGACGTGGCCCGACGTGCTCGGGCACCGACTCATCCCACTCGATTCGAGGTCGAGGAGGAAGGGGCGAGGATTGCGGCGAGGATAGTAGAAAACCTTGGGCCGAGGAGGAGGGAGTGGGCGTGCACTGCTGGCGACTCTAGGACAGCGTCGACGTCGTGTCGACGGAGGACAACGAGCACTAGACATGACGGTAACAGTCGTGACCCGCCTGGAAATTGAAATATGGGTCGAGTGGGACAAAGAAATCCTGGAAAGCCGAGGTCCCCAGGTCATTTCCCCAGGGATCCCAGGCCCGGCTGAGCCTCGACACCTGGTGCCCCAAGAGCACTTTGGCGAGCAAAAGCGAAAAGGCCGGCGGATAGCTTTTCAGCTCAGCGGTGCGCCAGCGGCCGTTCTCGTCACGGCCCGCTGCCGCTGGGTGGCCCCCCTCATGCCGGCAGCGGCCGCCCTGGGGGTCCGCGTCCACTGCGAGGCGGAGCTCGGGGGCGTTCACCGCCAGGAGCCCCGTCGGCTTCCTCGACCGCGCGCCGTACGCGCACTGGTCCACCTGCACGTAGTCCACCCCCGGGAGCTCGAGCGCCCAGGAGATCTCGGGTGTCTCCCAGGAGGAGATGCTCTGTGGCCTCCAGGGTGCTGGGGCTGGATGCTCCATCAGCCCTGTGATGCCCAGCGGGCGGCCGATCAGGAGCAGCAGGAGGCAGGAGCTCCTCCTGGAGCTCCTCCTGCTGCAGGGCCAATTCCTCTCGCTGGAACTGCTGTGCGATGGTCTCCTCCTCGAGAAGCAGGTCCGCATTGAGGACGCGCGCCCTGATGTGGAGTTGCTCGGCCTCGGCTTCGGACAGAATCCTCTGCTCCATGCGCAACCTGTCGGCTTCCTGCAGGATGGCCATGGCTGCCTCCCGTTGCTGGCTGGCGTGTCGCTGCTGGGCGTGTCCAGCTGCCTGGGCTTGCTCCAAGGCTGCCTGCTCCGCGGCTTCCTGGGTGCTTCGAACCATCACCTGGCGGGCGGCGCGGGCTTCCACCTCCAGCTGTTCCATAGCTTGCTGGAACCTCCGGCGCGCATGAATCTCCAGCTCCTCGTACCCCTCCTCCTCCTCCTCCTCCCCCTCCTCCTCCTCCTCCTCCTCCTCCTCCTCCTCCTCCTCTTGTGGATGGCCCCGGGGCCCGAGGCGGGCCCCCGCCAGGGCTCTCGACCTCCTCCCCGGGGGCTGGCTCTCCGTCGCGGGCCGATGTTTCCGGACGCCCCGGGGGCACGCAGCGGGCCGCTACGGGGGGGGGGGGGCGGGGACACCTCGGGACAGGGCGGCCGTCGTGATCTTGTCGCGACGCTGGAGGTCTGGGTGAGTGGCGGCCTCTGGCGGCCTCGACTTGTCTCGTCTCCCCTCGGCGGCCCTCAGCGGCCAGGGGGCCTCGGCGGATCTTCTGCGTCCGTTCATGAAGAGGCGGCGCGAGGAAGGGCTCGGCAGCAGGACCTGGGACCCATCCTGCCGGACGGATGCGGTGGAGGAGGACCAGAGCAGACAGGATCCATCAACGATGCTGCCATACACCCTCCCATCCCGAGTCCCCCCCTCACAGGTCCCTACAAGCATGCATCATTCCTTTCCTCTACGGGAGCCCCCCCCCCCCCGACAGACGAGCGCCCCAGGGATCTGCCATTCAGGCGATGTCTCCACTTTGACAAGGAACTGCCCTCCATCCTTCTAGCTCTTGGGAATGCAGAAACGTAAGGTCATATACAGCAGGGAAGGAAGTGTCCAGCGAGAGTTCAGTTTGGAAACATGGAGCCTCCCTCCAGGGTTCCGAGACGGCCCAAGAGCGTTCCAGGACCACCCAAGGTGGCCTCCAGATGGCCCAAGACGTCTCCAGGACGCCCACGAGACAGCCCAGGAGTGCTCCGAGAGGACCCAAAACGGCCTCCCGACGGCCCAAGAGGCCCCCAAGAGGACCCCAGAGGGCCCGAGGGGCTCTCCCAGGAGGCCCTCGAGAGGCCAAACTGTTTCATATTGTTTATGTGGCCTCCGATACGCCTCCGGTTCTTGATTCTTGACTGTTGGGGCTCTCTTGCGGGTCCTGTTGAAGCGCTCTTGGGATCTCTTGGGGGTTGTCTTGGGGCCATCTTGGGCGTGTTGGAAAGCTCTTGGCGGCCTCTGGGACCCTCTTGGGCGCGTCTTGGGGCCTTCTTGGCCCATCTTGGGCCCTCCTGGGCGGGGTCACCGTCCCAGAGGCCTAATTATGCGACACTCCTGAGAGCACCCGACCGCGCCCAGAAGTTCTGGGAATTTCATGCTCTGGGCCCTGAAGAACCTTACAAACCTTGCATTTACTTTTCAGAACTGCGTGAGCCTTGGGGCACTCCACTACGTGCTGAAGGCACGGTGGCGGATGACGGGAAGCGCCTCGCCGTCGCCGAGGTGCGCAAAGCTTTCGAGAGGTGCGCAAAGCTGTTGAGAGGAGCGGATCTCTCCCTTCACCGTCGCCGAGGTGCGCAAAGCTTTTGAGAGGCTTCCCAATCATAAAGCCGGTCCTGTCTTGAAGGAGCACCCGCCCCCGGCAGCCGACAACCCGAGAGGTGCATCAGAGGGAGCAGTTGCTGAGATATGGAAGCTTGCTCTCCGCTCGGACGCTCTGGCAGATGCTGTCACTGGCGCTTTTCAGGCGTGCCAGGGCAGTGGCCGCACAGCACAGAGATTTAAGAATGGCGAAACGGTCAGCCTAAGAAAGCCGAAAGGCGATGGCAGTTCAGCACGCGACCACTACCGCACGATTAATCTTATTGGGCATGCAGGCAAGGCCTACACCAACGTCACGTGCATGCCTGCGCTCAAGCAGCTCGGCCCCAAGGTGTCCCCGACCCAGTATGGGGCACTGGCCGGCCGCAGCACTCGCGATGCGATCGCCCTCGTGGACGAGATCTTGCGCCGGTGGAAGGACAGCCGCAGCGCGGCCACGCGGCCAGCGCGTATATTGGCAGCCTGCTTGATGGATCTCGAAAAAGCTTTTGACTTACTCAATCGAAACGACATTCGGCACAGCCTCGAACGCTTGGCATTCGATCGCAGTCTGCGGATTACGGTGGAAGAGCTGCACAACGGGACTTGCTACATTATTCGTGATGTGAGATCGAACCGACCTGTTCGGAAACTCAAAGTTGCGAAAGGGGTGCGCCAGGGATCGGTTGAAGGCCCCGCATTGTTCATTTGCCTTTACGATGCCATCACCAGCGATATTGAGATGAAAGCACCCGCTGCTGGCTTTGAGGCCATCACGGCCACGTACGACTCCACCTTCCGGACGTATCGCCACCACTACCCGCCTTCGCTCAACCAGGACAGCTGCTCCGTGCTTGACGTATCCCAGGTCAAATTCGTTGATGACCTCATCGCGCTCACGCTCTGCAGCGATTTCGACCAGGTCAGCCGCTTTCTGGATTTCCTCGCGCGGGCCATCACCGAAGGGGGCATGCGAGTCAACGTGCCGAGAACGGAACTTTTGATGCAGGCCAAGGGCGTTGGCATGAACGCCCTCCAAAAGCGAATCAAGGCCAACAACACCGGAGTGATCATGCACTCGATGGAGGTGGCCTCGGCCACGCCCGCAGCCGAGTCCCCGAACCAGCGCCGGAGGCGGCGCGTCCGCTCCAAGCAAGCCCCGGCATCAGGCGACGTCGCCTCCCTCACTGGCTCCGCACCCCGCCACCTCAAAAGCCATGTTGTTCCAGCAGCCAAGACAGTGAAATATCTAGGGGCTAAGCTGCGCGCGGACGGCTCCCACCAGGACGAGGTAACCAGTCGCATCAGCGCCGCCAACGCCAGCCATGGCCGACTTGCTGCCCGAACATATAAGGGCCTGTTTGGCCTCAAACTTAGAGTCCGCATCTGGCAGACCATTGTCCGGTCGGTCGCGCTTTACGCACTCGAGGTGGCAGTCTTGACCAAAGGTGAGCTACGACGCCTTGAGCGCTGGCAGACTGTCAAGTTGCGCCACCTACTCCGCCAGCCGGCACATACCACGCACCTGAATAACTACGAGGTCCGTCGACGTTGCCGGGTATTCACTGTGGAGAGCACGCTGCTGGAGCGCCGCCTGCGCTGGTGGCAGCGAGTAGTTCGCCCAGGCCTTGCAGCCGACCCGCCAGACTACGACCCCACCCTCGCCTTGCGCGCAACGATCTTTGGGCGTCTCTCGTTTGAGGGCCCACAGTCCTATGAGAAAACGGCTCGATTACGGCAGCTCGAATCTGACATCCACTCCCTATGGAACGTCTTGGCCCCAGATGCCCAGCAACGTACTGCAGCTGACCACCTGACAGGACCCCCGCAGGTTACACGCCCGTGGATGGCCTGGCTTGCCTCGGTGCCGCTGGGCGTCATCAAGAGAGTTTGCACACATGCGGCTACTACTGATTCTGCCCATGGAGCCGGTGCGACTACGGAGGTACCCTTACTTACATGCCCGGATTGCGGGGGCAAGTACCGCGGCCCGAAAGGGCTTGACATTCACCGCAAAGAGGCCCATAACATCGATGCGAACCCGTTCCAAATCCCAGTGGAATACATATCGCGGCTCCAGTGCCACCATTGTCTGCAGGTATTCGCCCGGAAGGATTCCCTTGTCAAGCATTTCCGTAAGCAGCGGTGCAAGAGCATCGTGCATGGCCAGGGCGACGCGCCCCGCAACGAAGGGCCAGGAGGGGTTGAGATCAATTCAGCGGGGGGCGCAGTGCAAGTCAATCCGTCTGGCGTGGAGGCTCAAGCCTTTTCGGTTCCAGCTGTGCTTGAGGACGGGCCCCAGGCAGAGGACCCTCGCAGCCATGTTCGGCGCCCTGGGGGCCCCGACCTCCGTCAAGCGCCCGGCCGAGGCTGCCGCGGCGTCGCCGGCCGACGAGGACAGCAGCGATATCCGCAAGTTGAACAAGTTGATGGCGAAGCTTCTTCTACAACACGAAGATCACATCAGGGGAGACATCCGCGACGAGAACGTGGTGGTGACAGTGACGAGGGACAGCGAGTTCGCACGCAGCCTCGACGGAGCGGTGGACGAGTACGCGTCCAAGGGGAAGGTGGCCCGGGAGCA